CTTGCATAGTTTGGATACTGAGGGTATGCTGGAGTATATTAACCAAAGCATGATGTCGATCATGAATCAGTTAACCTATAGGAAAGAAAATCGTATCAAATTAAGAAATAAATGGTATGATAGAGAGTTAGTAGAAACCAATAAAATTAAGTTTAAGTTACATCAAAGGGCCACTTTGACAGGAGACTGGGCAGAATACAACGTGGCAAAAAAAAATTATAAGAAACTGATTAAAGATAAAAAGATACAGCATCTAGAACAAAAAGTTGAAGAAAATAGAGGGAACAGTCGATTAATGTGGAAGTACTTAAAAAATGTAGTCAATAATGCAGACAACAAAGAAAAAATCAAAGAAGTGCTAATAAGTGGCACGCTATACGATAGCAACTGGGAAATCGCAGAGCATTTAAACAAACTCTTTGTGGACAGTATTATTGAGATTAACAGTAATATACAAGACATTGGTGATGACTCAATCCAGCCGGCAAAATCTCAAGCGACATTAAACTTTGAAGAAGTTAGTATGGAAGATATCATCCAAATTGTTAAGAAATTTAAGAGAAAAATTGGTGGAAATAACTTACTATCGAAGGGTGTCATTANTAAAAAATGTAGTCAATAATGCAGCCAACAAAGAAAAAATCAAAGAAGTGCTAATAAGTGGCACGCTATACGATAGCAACTGGGAAATCGCAGAGCATTTAAACAAACTCTTTGTGGACAGTATTATTGAGATTAACAGTAATATACAAGACATTGGTGATGACTCAATCCAGCCGGCAAAATCTCAAGCGACATTAAAATTTGAAGAAGTTAGTATGGAAGATATCATCCAAATTGTTAAGAAATTTAAGAGAAAAATTGGTGGAAATAACTTACTATCGAAGGGTGTCATTAAAGACACAGTTGAATTGATGGGCCATTTTTACGCGTTATTAACAAATAAGAGTCTGTAATCTGGAACTGTACCAAACGAATGGAAAACTTCGACAATAGTTCCAGTGAAAAAAGTAAAAAATGCGATAAAAGCTGAGGAGTTTAGGCCAATTAACACCCTTCCCAATATGGAAAAAATCTTAGAGACGGCTGTAAAGGTAAGCTATTGGTATAGAGAACATTGAGCTGGCTTGGTGTCGAAGTTTTCTCTCAGACCGTAAGCAACAAACAGTGATTGAGTCAAAAATGTCAAAAACGGTTGCAGTAAATATCGGTCTGCCTCAAGGATCGGTTCTTGCTCCAATACTTTTTAACATTTACATTAATGACATAAATACGGTACTGCAATACTGTAAAATAAAACTGTTCGCGGATGATACGCTTCTAACCATCAGTCACAGAAATTTACCAAATGCCATATCTAAGATGCAGGAAGATTTTGACTCTTTATATAAATGGTTATGTTTAAACAAACTTGAAGTGAATGTGAAAACGACACAGTTCATGGTCTTATCAAGGGTGGCTAATGCGAACTCATTCACCTATAGCTTAAAACTCAGAGATGAAAAGCTAGAGGAGGTAAAAATCATTAAATACCTAGGTATATACATTGATAATAAGTTAAAATTCGATGAGCATGTTGACTATGCAGTAAATAAAATTGCTAAAAAAATTGGTCTCATGAAAAGATCATGTAAGTACCTAGGAAGAAGATATAAAACACTAGTGTATAGGTCCATAATAGAACCACACTTCATACATTGTCCAACGATCTTTTTCATGGCAAGCGATACACAAATCGACAAGTTACAAAAAATGCAAAACAGAGCAATGCGATTTATACTGAATAAGCGTCACGACGCACCCACATGAGAGATGCTCGCCGATATGAACTGGCTGAGTGTTAAGCATCAAATTTCTTATCACGCCATGAAATTCGTATCCAATATAAAGAATGGTCGGTTGCCGGGCTACCTGAGCGACAATCTCAGATATATAAATGAAACTCATTCATACATACTCAGAGAAAATAATAGCTTTCCAGAGATCATTACTTGATCACTGTCGAACACTACCTATCAGATAGAGGCTCGTCATGGAAACAAACATCCGGCCGGGCTGCTCTGGATCCAATCCACTCAGACAGCTTGCCGAATCTGCAAATCTTGACAGAGTCGAAACACCAATCCCCGAAGCTCCGTCCTCCTACCCTATCAAACAGTGCTGCTATGCTATGCTATGCTATCTAGTTCATTCAGACAGCGTGCACAACATCGGAAATCCTCATCGAACCGAATCAACAATATGAGAAGTGAGGGTGCACATTGGAAACTAGTCCTTTCCAACTGCCCAAACAACTGAAGCTACAATGTGAGAAGAGAGGTGCAGATTGGAAACTAGTGCTCTCCAACTGCCCTAACAACTGAAGAAACAATGTGAGAAGTGAAGGTGCAGATTGGAAACTAGTCCTTTCCAACTGCCCTAACAACTGAAGCAATAATATGAGAAGGGAAGGTGCAGATTGGAAACTAGTGCTTTCCAACTGCCCTAACAATTGTGGCAATAGTATGAGAAGGGAAGGTGCAGATTGGAAACTAGTGCTTTCCAACTGCCCTAACAATTGTGGCAATAATATGAGAAGGGAAGGTGCAGATTGGAAAGTAGTCCTTTCCAACTGCCGTAACAATATGGCCTGGAACTTGCCTCTTCAGACCACTTGCCTAATTTGCCTGCTCTGCCGTATGATTGGGAACTGCAATTGCGTTTTCTGGGAATTTCCGACCTTGTACTCGATTATTCAAATAAATTGAAGTGGAAGGTCGGAACATTTTGGAGGGGGAAATTGCATATTTTTATTCATGCGGCCTGATATAGACATATGTAACATAATATATATAGTTATTGTATACATAATTTGCAATAAGAACATTAAAATTCATATACATATGTACGAATATTATAGTTGTATTATTAGGTCATAAGACTGTAACAAAAAAATAAATAAATAAATGCATCGAAGCAAAACATCGATATTTTCGATTCATCGATGTTTTTCCGGCATCCCTATCATCCTCACATATGTTCATCAGAGTATGTATACCAACGAAGGACGAGTTAATACAAGGAGATAGCGAGAGCACAAAACTACTCTAGAAAATTACACACACAATGACAAACATGAACAAATGTACAACAAACACATAATTTTTGACAATCAATAAAGTTCGCATTTATATCAACGAGCGCTTATGACATCGGTTTTCGTTTGCACTACATATGTACATATATACATGTACACAAACATATGTACATACATTCAAATATATATCATCGTTTAAAGTACAAAACCGCGTATCAACAAAATGCAAAACCGCGTATGTGAGGTTGCATAAATTATTTTTTAGATAGTAAAAACACTCATATTTCAAAATGGTTCTCTTTTTTTAAAAAGAAATCGCATTTCTCGCTAGTATATTTCAGGACGAATGGATAAGGATTGAGCCATGAGCTTGTGTGAGCAAATCCAATTTTTGGCAGCCAATGTCAGTTACGCGGTTTTGCAGAATGACGATACGCGGTTTTGTACTTTAAACGACGATATATAACCATTCAAACATATGTACATACATGAAAACATTGCTGTCCATAAGTACATACTAAACTCCTGCGCAATTCCATTTAAACGGCCTAACAAGACATCCGATCGCCGCGCAAATACTTTCCCTCCTTTAGGCACTCCGAACACGACTCGCCTCGTCATCGTATCGTCATCGGCGCGACACTAATTTTTCATGCAGCGACGATGACGATACGCTAACAGGTCCGCACACAATGCGACTATCTATCGTCAAAGTACGAGTTGTGAAAATGTCGAGCAGCGATGAAGAATTTATTTTATTAAATTATCTCCTACATCGAAGGAGAAATAAAAGAAAAAGGAAGCATTGGGTGCATCCATATATTAAAAACAACTCAAATAGAAGATTATTCATTGCCGCTAAGGAGTTAGAAGAAGACGATTTCAAATTCCAGACATTTTACAGAATGTCTAAAAATGCTTTTAAGGAGCTTGTGGAAATTGTCAAGCCGGCTATTCAAAAGCAAAATACTAATATGAGAGAATGCGTTAGCCCGGAGGAAAGGATTATGATTACGTTAAGGTAAGTAGCATTCTTTTTTTGATTTTGGTGTGGTGGGCCGAGTAGAAGGTGTGGATTTCCAAACCCAATTCCCTAGAGAAAGCAGGGTGTAAACTTAAAGAAAAGTTATCCTCACCCCTTAGCCCCTCTAAGGAAACCTGGGGGATTTTTTTACAAAAATTACCATGTGAGAATGACAGTGAGAAACCCGAAAATCCTAGGCGGAAACTCTAGGCTGCAGTCCTGCTAAAATACCTCGCACAGTGCGGCCATGGGATCATCTGATATGACCCGAGGCACATCTTCATTATCAGGTTCAAATTCTCTCCGCCTGGAATCAACCTCGTCGAAATAGCAGCAAAGCTCCCTGGACCCCCGTTACAAGAGCTAGGGTGACCTAAGTTGGGCCAGCAACGTCGCTTAAGCTACAACAAGAAAAACAGTTCAAATACAGCAACTTCTCTCTTTTTATTTGTCTTTGTACAAATACATTTTTATTTTTTATTTCATTGCTTTTTAAAGAAAAACGTTTGAGTTCCACCCTGGGTCATCACCGGAAAGCTATCTGCTTTGTAGTGAGTGCTACAACTGGCGGAGTTGGTGCTATATCGGGTGAAGTAGCAGGCATACTAGCAAAAGTGGGGGCATGTGAGTCATCAGAAATGAAGTCGTGAGATTTCAGCGTAAATCATATGAGAAGGTGTAGGTGCATCACTTGGAGAAGGTGTGGGAGTAGCTACGAACGGCGAAGCCTGATTTGGTAAAATAAATTCTTCGTTTTCGTTCTTCAACAGGTCTTCCACCAGGAGCAAAGATCTTATTTTGAATTGCCTGAAACTCGCGGCTGATTAGCTATTTACGTCCGGGAGTAAGCTTAGCAGAAACAGTTTGCGAGAATCGTCTTCGGTTTTCTTTGCGTTTCTGTTAGTAATGTAGCCTAAGACGGCCTCTTCGACTTCGTCGTTTCCGGCAGAGCCTTTCTTACGTTTTTTTTTTGCCCCGTACTTGCTGAAGTGTTCTGTGCCGTTTCAAAGGTTATGTCGCTTTCGTGCCCATCTTCCATCGTCGTGACTTCTTCCGCATGATATACATCGCAATCTGACAAGGTAATGTTACCAGTTTGCTCAGCGTGTTGGACTGGTTTAACATACGGCAACACAAACTGCATTACTTCGTGCAAATAATACTTTTTCTTAATTTTTGAAGATGAGCCGCTCGGAGGCGGCTTGAGGCTGCGAACGAAACCATTCCTTATGTTTCTCCACTTCTCCTTACACTCTGCTACTGCAAAGAAATTTGTAAAGAAAAATATGTACATATTGCTCCTTTAAAGTGTCATAACTCAAAAAACCGAAAATCGTGTAAAATGGCTTTAAAGTTTTGAATTTACATATACTCCTATAGTAAAAGAAATGCATATTTTGTTGTAGTGAGCTACTGGTAATCGGTACAGCTATGAACACAACAAAGAAGAAGAGGTAGCGGTATTTTCTGCATACTTAGCTCAATATTTGTATATTTTGAATTATGACACTATTGAAGTAAATGAGCGATATGTGCAGTCATGTGAAAATTAATAGGAACACAACATTTTTACCAGTTTTGGGTATTTTTCTATTGTTTGGTTAATGTTTATTATTTTTTTTTATAAAAATGCAGCTCATTATATAACAAAAACCATATAAACCCAAATTTCAAACTTTGTAGAAAAAAAAATTCAACAACATTTTACAACAACAAACTTTTTGTCAAGATTTTATAGAAAAATTGTAAGTACGCAGGTTTATAGCCCATTAAATTCTAGCTTCTGAAAGTTGCACGTTTCAAGTAGCTAAGAATTCGCGTTGATTTTTGATAATTTGATAAANACTTTTGGTCGTTGGTTGGATAGCAATAATAATTTACCATCTTCAAGCAGACTTCCGTATGACGAAAGTGACAATCAATTTCCGTATTATTTTGTGGCCGACAGCGCATTCCCCTTGAGGAAAAATATAATGCGACCTTTCCCCGAAAGAAATATAAATAATAAAAGGCGAATATTCAATTATAGATTGAGTCGTGGTAGAAAAAATATAGAGTGCGCTTTCGGAATGATGACTCAGAAGTTCCAGGTTTTTTTAACACCTATACGTTGCCGAAAATACGAAACTATTATTTCAATCGTTCAGAGTGCTTGTATTTTACATAATTATATACGAATAACAGACGGGGTACCATACAGAACCTCTTTACAAGAAGCTACACGTATCCAACAAAGCCAAGAAGTTCTGCCAGAGACACACAATTTTAATATAAACGAAAATACTTCACCTCAAGATTTGCGCAGTTATTTAGCTAACTATTTTGTATTATCAAATGCAGCTTTGCCGTGGCAATGGAATTATGGTTTAAAAATACATACAGTGGTCGAAAAGATTATAACTGCACCACGTTTTGACCAATTTTAACATATTATTTTGCTGTTATTCTTTAACGTGTAAATCCTCGTTTCAAACTTTGTGCAATATTTAAAAGAAAATATTAAACAAACGTCCGTAAAAATTTCAAGCTTTTTATTTAGATTTCTTACAAAAAAGATTTAGAGTGTGCAGTTTTGTGGCCCATTCAGTTCTAGTAGAATAAAGTAAAAGTTTCAAATTGCTAAAAACTACCGTTGATTTCTTAGATTTTTTTTATTGCAGATGTAAAACGTAAACTATATTTTAATAAAAAATAAACAAAATTAAATAACAGCAAAATAATATGTTAAATCTTTTTAAAAAATCTAAGTAAAAAGCTCGAAATTAAAAAAATATTTCACAAAGTTTGACACTTGGATTTACACGGGTTTTGCTAAAGAATGAACTATATTTTTATAAAACAATATTAACCAAATTAAATAACAAAATAATATGCTAAAGCTTATTAAAATCTTGCGTCTATAGTACACAATAAATAAACTGAAAAAAATACAAACGCACAGCCTTTTTCATGGGGAAATGTTCGATTATTTGAATAATGATTTTAAAATTAGGTTTAAATTAAAGCTTGATCTTTTGACTACACGAGTATGTTAAAACTTTTTGATTCGAGTCACGTGTTTGGACATAATAATCCAAAATCATTGTACAAATAACCGTACCGTACATTTGCAGGAGCTGGTTGGCGGTGTATACACATTTTAAACCGAAATTAATAAATAAATTAGTGGACGGAAATTTGAAACCATTATTTTAGATTAGAGCTTAATCCTTTTACTACACGCGTATGTTAAAATTTTTTGATTCGGCTCACGCTTTTGGACACAATAATCCAAAATCATTGTACAAATAACCGAACGGCACACTTTCATGTACAGATACATACATACCTGACCAATTCATTTGTTGAGCTATTTCGCTCCAAGCTCTTTCCGTTATATTTTTGTTGGAATATTCTTGTAAATTATTATTGTATAGGCACGCGCGATTTTCTATTAATTGCACGAATTTACAATTTCAGAAGACATTTTTGTGACAGAACTCGTAGTAAACGCACCCACCGAAAAACATAAACAAACTGCAAGCGTGCTATCGTACATGACGACAAGCAACCGACAATGCTGTACGATAGTCGTCGTGCTGCATGCATGCTGCGACGATTACGCGTAGCTGTCGGCTCGTGTGCGGTTCCCCATTTAAACACACGGGTGCGACAAAAAAGCGTATGCTGCATGCATAACGAGCCAATGACGATACGATGACGAGACGAGTCGTGTGCGGAGTTCCTTACTCTCATCGTTCGGGTCAAGTGTGAGTAAGCATAAACCAGTTTCTGCAAGCGTACGTAAATTACCGATCAATACCAAGACGCGTAGAATATTTACTTTGCCTTCCGCAACTACTGCGAGTAAAAGGTATTTGACAGTAGAGTACTCTACTGGTAGTACTTGAGTATTTTCGAAGAAAACATACATTTGTGGTATCTGAATAAAACTAAGGACAGGAATGTAGTGGAGCGATGAAGAGAGCGACGAGCAAAGCGTACTTTCAACTAAAATATATACATATATATATATGATATACATACCTAAGTACATATGTATGTATGTGCATGGATACGTATGTGCATATATACATAAGTGCATAGATACCTACATATGTGCATAGATACGTATGTGCATACCTTGCAAAAATCGTTGGACCATGTAGTCTATTTGTGGTATATTGGAGTACTTACAAAAGTGTTCCTCTGTCATGCTGTAGCGGACCAACTCGTGTCTCTGCACCAGCTTATTGTTTGTTACCCGATCACTGCTCGTGTTTTAACGAAATGTGATTGAAGTTGAGCATTTGAAAGCACGTGTGCATATCTGGCTGTAGCCGAACGTGTAGAGATGCTCGCTGTTAGTTCTTAGCTCCCAGCATGTTCGGGTTCGAATGTCGTCAGAGGCAACATCCAATTTTTAATTTTTGTTTTTGGTTTTTATTAATTTCAAAAAAAGCATCCGTGAAGTGAAGAACAAAAGCGTGTACAAATGAAAAAATATAACAACAATGTCATTGTGCTACTCTGATGTAATGCAGAGATGGAGTATATGGTCCTGCCCTAGGACATCGCAATGTTAATTGGACCATATTTTTTATATGAATTGTGGTTAATTTTGGAGTACTCCTAGGTCCTTCGGCAGTACTCTTTACATGCATGCATGGAGTAGTCGCGATTTTTGCAGGGTAGTTACATATATAAGTGTCCGCATATATTTTTTCTCGTCACTTGCTCTGTCGCTTCACTGCAGCAAAACCAAGTTGTGGGGAAAACCCTGACGATATGCGTACAATTGAAACCATGGGTTTGAAGATAACGCAAATTGATGTGAAAATTTCAATTTCATATTAAATATATTTATGTATGCATGTACATATGTACATATGTAAAAATGTAGTTTCGATTTAAAAAAAATCGGATAAAGTTTTTCTTTCGCCATTCATACACCTCTAATTTTAGTATTTATTAAAAAAAACTCAATGAAATTCAAAAACTACCTCTTGCATTTGGTTTGGTCAATACCGATTTGAGCTGTCGCACAGTGTTATAAAAAAAAAGCTATCAATGGGTAGGTTCAGAAGGCGCAGCAGTTGAGCGCAACCGTTGCTAAAAAAAAATCAGTGATCGTTATGCGTCTTCTGAATGACTTCATACATTAGCTGTCAAATTCAACTCTCAAAGGTACACACCAACATGTTGTCTCAAATGATCAGAAAAATATTACGATCATCTAAAGCAGGGATCACACGACTTGTACATTTGTACAGATTTGGCTATTTTCTCCGTTACAGGGTGGTGTTGTTTGGAAAGCTTTTACCGAGCTGCTCTCATTCTCGATAAAAATTTCTAGACAACACCACTCTGTGA